GGAGGTATGGGTCTCGTTTTTCGCACAGTACACAAAAGTACACTTCCCTCTTTCCATGGAATCATCCCTCACAGGAGCGTTTATTACCTCACCATATGTTTTTCATTGCCTCATTATAACAATCAATAAAATCGGACACTTATTAATTTATTATCCATATATTCGAGACAGAAACATGGAGCCCAGGCAGTAAATAAGCTCATACTCCTTATGAGAATCCCTTGCATCGCAATACACAATTATCTCAGAGAGTTTCTACAAACTCTATTGTATAAATTGGGTCTTTTCTTCGCATTTGGAAGGGAGAATTATTTTTCCACTCTCAGTGAAGGAAATGAGGGTTTCTATACTTCAGAGAGCAGAAAGGGGATAGCAGTTCCCTGTAAAGTACTACGATTAGTACTTTCAGAATAATATTTAATCCATTACCTTCATTATTGACCAATTATGGAATGCTACAAGGGTGGGAGTGAGGGTTCAAATAAGTGACATTGCAATGTTGACTCAACGGTCAGCCAGTGTTGAACTTCAACGTTCATCTGAGTGTTCCGATTAGCGACATTGCAATAGTGACTTAATGTTAGCGGCAACGCCAACCAAACACTGGGAAGGTTCAAAATTAACGTTCATGCAACGCTGATTGAATGTTAGAATGTTTGCTGGGTATTCGAGACAGAACTAGGGAGCCCAGGCGATAAACAAGCTCATCCTCCCTATGAAAACCCCTTGAATGCGTGTCAACTAATACCTGAAAGAGGATTCTATAAACTCGATTATGTACATTATCTCTGACCTTCATTTCCTTATCTCTTGGGGCAGAATGATCATTCTGCCCCAAGGGCGGAAAGGAGGGTTAGAGTAATCTGTAGAGCAAGAAAGGGAGGATCGTTCCCAGGAAAGTACTAAAATTAGTATTTCCAGAACATTATATTTGTATCTTATTGCCGTCGTTATTAGCCCAATAATGGGGTGGTACTAGGGTGGGAGTGAACATTCCAATAAGTGACATTGCAGTGTTCAGCGACATTGAAATATTGACTTAACGTAAGATGCAACGCCACCACAACAGTGGGAAGATTCAGGTTTAACGTTCATATAACGCTTATTGAATGTTTACTGGGAACTGGTACCAGGTACAAATATCGAGTTCGCAGAATCTCCATTCAAGCATTAGTGAGAACTTTTTATTTTTATTTATTTATTTAAAGAATAAGAGCTAATGGGGGACTGGACCCTCTCCCTGATGGTGGGTACACCAGGGGTCCCGCCAGTCCCAGTGAAACCCTCCTGCGAGCGGGCTGGCAGATGCAAGACCCCCTCGAAGCTGATTTAGACAATGGGAATGGCCCCCATTGTCCCGGTCGGAGACCGAGGTTTCTCCTGTCTGTTTTACTGATTACTCATTAGTTAGGACAGTTGCAATAGCTACTTAGAGAAAGATTAGACCGATTCCTTAACTTTTAAAGAATGAAGACAGGTTGGGGCTATTTTAGACCCACTTTTAAAGATTATTAATTCCTATCTACTTAATAATGACTTTATATAAGTTTCAGGTACCTATCAGATTCCCAGAGAGCTACCTGGGATTTAACAGATGCCAGCTGTTAAGAAAACATTTTAAGGCTCCATGTGAGAACATATGGAATGGTTCTAATCGTGACTAAGAACTTGTATTTCGCCTGGGCTCCATGATTCTGTCTGGAATATGGCGATAATAAAGGATTAAATGTCAGATTTTATTGATTGCTATTATGAGACTAGGAAAAACATATGGTGAGGTACTAAACACTCCTGTGAGGATTGATTCCATGGAAAGAGGGAAGTGCACTTTTGTGTACTGGGAGGGAAATGCGACCAATACCGCCATCTAGTGGCCTAGAGGAGAACTTCAACGTTTCCCTTTAAAGCGAACGAACTTGGGCACATTGGATCATCGCGTCAGTGTGATATCGGATCGATGATGGAATGGCAATATTGGGAATTTAGCTGGCATTGGCAATGATGGCAAGATGTACAGTATGATATATCGACATCGTACCCAATGTTGGTCTATCATTGAGCCAATATTTGGTGTTACTGGGGTGATAACACTGGATAGGTTCCTGGTCGTTTGTTGAAAAATTTTTTTTCTCTATTTAACGATGCATGCTCCATGATTCTGTACTACCATAAATATTATTCCAAAATGCGATTTAAGAAGGTATCATAGTGCCATAACACTGCTATAATATTCACGCAACGTTTGACTTAGACCTTCTACGTTAATGACACTGTATTGACTCTAGGGGAACGTTCCCGCAACGCTACTATGTTTACTGGGTGCCTACTATTTTCCAGCTCTTTTCCAGTTGGAAATGGTCCGAATTTACATATTTGGTCCAACTGGAATATTTCAGTTCGGATTTTAAACTGGGTAGGTCAAGTATTTCTAGCAGTACTGCGATTTGAATATGGTCAAAAAGTGCAAATTTCTGGTCCAGCGGTCATCACCCAAGTGCTCATAATTTTTGCCATGATTAACACAGAGAGATGAATTTTAAGTCATTTTCAAGCTCTTTTATGCACATTGATGTGCTGTGCGTTTCGTGAATTTTGTATGAAATTTAAGGTAATTTTTCTCTTTCCGAAAGCATTACCGTAGCATTCTCAACTCTCTCTTTGGATACGCCAAGTTTCAGTTTGGGACAGTTATGGGATCAAAAGATGCTAACAACGTGGCAGTAAGCAACTTAAAAAAATCTGCAGAGAATGCGCCAGAAAAGTTTGTTTGTATCTGGTTGCACGGCAAAGCTATATAGTTGTGGTATAATTTGTCATAAGAGAAGGTGCGAAGCGGAGGTATTCAGCCTCTCTGAATAAACCCAGAAGAAAAGTGAATTAAGCTTTCGTTTTGGTCAATCCTAAAATGTGACATTAGCTTTCTTGGCAACCCCGATGGACTGCCAATCATCCAATGTCTGCCCCGTGTTCTACTACTCACGTGGTCCTCAGTCTCGAATCCACGTTATTAGCACCAGTTATGCGAATAGCGTGAAGGTGGAAAAATGAAACAGATTGGCAAATCATGACTTTCTGAACTGTTTGAGTTTACTACACACTCCCATAGACCTGACGTAAGGAGCTTTACCTAATGAGGTGACCCTAATTGCCCTGGATGGACGACATGGAATCGAAGGAATTCAGGGCGGACCTCTATCATCTCTGGGTTCAGTATCGGTCCAAGGTAAGAAAAGAAATCATGTTTAAGCTCACTCTAAGGCCTAGCCCGATTAGGTCTAATGTGGGACGCATCTGCCCAGCTACTACACAGCAAGGTTCGCAAATGCCCTTGGCTTGGACACAACTTAGGCCTACAGTTGGCCTATTCATAAGGTAGACTAGATGTCCGGATTTAGGCGGGACGCCCAAATGTCCTGCTTTTGGGAAATGTCAAAGAGAGAATGACATGCTCGGTTTGACATTTGACATGACCAAGTTTCTTCCTTTGCTAGTTTCAAAACTTCCTAAACAATATCGCATTGAGCCAAACCTAGCGGATATCATGTTTATAAATAGTATACCTTCCATCTCTTTTATCCATGGCAACTGCATATATATATATATTGCATACCAGTTGACCCTGCTGTGCAAGTTAAACTTTCATGGTAATTCATCGTGCTAGTTGAACTTGCACGACCAAATTGTCCTGGGTTAACTTGAACAGTCCATCACAGCATGCAAGTTGAAGTTGCATGGGGAAACCCTTCTTCATGTTAACATGGATTGCACATTTTCATGCAAGTTCAGAGGAGCACTTCATCTCGGCCAAAATAATGATCGTATGCCTTTGGCTGCCCGAACTTACATTATTTTCCAGCTAGCATGTCAAGCACCATGAAATGAATAAGTTCATCACCCTTATTAATAAAATGATGAAACTCCTTAATGATGTCAAATTGCCCATAATTAAAGAATCTGCAGCAACTTTGTTAATGTCTGCAAATAAGCCTTTCTGTAAAGCACACCTTTTTGATTTTCATTAATTTGTTGGAACACGTGCATTGTTGTGACATCAAATGTTGTGCTGGGTATTATTGGCTATGCACTTGCACCTCTTTTTTTTTTTAGATGCATCATTTGCAGTGGTTTTATTATATGGGGGGAGCAGTTGCCCCCCCCCCCCAGCACCCCAGGGACTGAATCTGATACTGCCCTGGAAGTAATACCATTTAGTTTTCTCCCTTGATATCACTTGGGTGGGGTTTGGAGCCCCCTCTCTGTTGCCCTGCCCCCCCCGACCCATCAGCCAAAATACGCTACTGATTGTTCACCTTCCTCACAAGTCTCTCTTTGTCCCTCAAAGACTAGGATGTCCTAGTGCTTGAGGTTGGCCTTTCTGTGATTCAGCAGGGCCAGAAAGCCGAGCTTTGGAGCCCCATTCTCACTTGTATCAGACGAAACAAGGTGAGATAATAAGGCTGTTGGTGAAAATGAAAGGATGAAGGCACCCCCCTTATTGTTTTCCCAAGGCAAAGCACGCTACCTGTATTCTTGATAATAAAAAAATTTTCTAACTGTATATGCTTAGTGGTCTAGATATCCCCTCCTGAACTTACACTAAAATCCATTGTGTGGGTTAACTTGCATAAGAAGAAATGCATTCAAGTAAACATGCATAGGGAAAATCGGATGGGTTCAAGTTGCAGGATATATTTTATGGAAGTTCAACTTGCATGGAAAGGTCAACTTGCATATGACATGAATTGGCAATGCGAATTCGGCTCACCGAACAACTAAGAAGCCTAAAAACACACCAGCTCTTGCTAGCAGGCACCTGCTCATGTGCGCAGCAGATGGTGAGGCTGGCCCCCCTGCTATCGTTTACTTTTATATTGTGTGAACAATGTGGTGCCCTTATAGTGGTCTTGCTAAAATTAGGCAAAAATGAATTGGTCGAAGAGTAAAATACCGAAAGGGAAAATGGTAGAATACCAGGATGTCGAAAGTAAAAAATAGTGAAAAGACAAAATGTCAAAATGAAAATTGTCAAATCAATCTTTTTCAAGTCATGGAATCCACGAGGTAAACTCTCAAGTCATCAATTTAGAAGTTAAGATTGTGTGCGATGGCTCACAGATACTCCATGGCACATCTATTGATGTAATCATCGCATATTGCTTTCAGTCGTGCATTGCAGGTAGCATCCTGCTTCCTCCGTTTTTTTTATAGGTGGCCCATTTTTTGCCTAACAATCTCCTGTTCCACATATGCTTGCTCCATTTTTAATGCTTGAAGGAGGTGAAACACATTAGGATGGCACTTTCCGAGGATGGAATTTAAACAGTGATACCATCCTTCAAGGTCATTAGTTGTCAAGGCTCGTTGGATTTGACACGATCAAGCACATTCCACATGATTGGCAATTGGAAATACTACACATCTTCGCAGTCTCCCACGCGGCCAGACATTTTCACATGCTTGGCCACACTGTGTTGATTGGGAACCAGAATTCAACATGGTCTCTGTCTCGAACACTATCTCCCCATCAATAGGAGCTGGAGAACAAGCTTCAGGTCAGCTTCAGGTCATGACTCAGTCGACTCATTGGGCTCTCAATTTTTCGTGTGAATTCTAAGATTTCTACATTTGACATGTTTTTTACCATTTTTCGCATGCGCCTTCTTGGATATTTGGACATTTGTCTTTTGTTTGCAGAGACATTCTGTCCCAGCGACGATTTTCCTTTGGGACAATTTTGCTTTTTGACCTTTTTATTTAGACATTTTTTAGCAGAATCCTTGTAGCTGTCTATGAGTCAGGGGCTCTGGCCTCCCATCCACGATTCTGGACAGGAGTCAACTTTCAGAGACCAGGCTTGACTTGTTTTGCATCAATCGAGAATGGATCCAATGGTTCTCAGAGGTTTCTTTCAGAAATTTTATATCTTAATAGATATTTTGACAGTGTATGGGTAAGTGACTCCAAGGAATTTTTGAGGAGGCTGGGCCTCCCTCTTGCAAAAAATGGGCCAAAACCCCTGATGATGATAGAATCTCTTCTGATCCCTCTCCTCCGAGGGTGAGGGACGCAGGAAGAGATCTCGAGCAAACAACCTGAGAGCGAAGCTAGAAAGGGTCAAAAATGAGAGTGAAAGGTGAAGGTCATGCCAGTCACATGTGGCTACTTGCTGCTATAAAGTGAAAATGTCACAAAAGCATCCTGAACATGTGATGCTGCTGAAAATTTTTTTGAAAACAGAAGAACCACTACTCGAATGAAAGTCATGAATAACTTATAGGTTAACAAATTTCCAGTTGCATGTCTGCACAGTGAAGTCTGGGCTGAATCCCAAAATTAAAATTGTTCACCTTTGTTTCAAATATTGAATGTGCTTGCATCATTTATTGTTTTAATTCTGTTTCCACCATTTAATGAAAAATTTCCATTTCATTTTCTGTTTGCATGTTGTCATTTCATGTTTTCCTTTTATGATGATTTGGTAAAACTTTCTTGCATTCGGAGACACTTGAAAGACAACTCAAAAGAACTTTCCCAAAACTCTCAGTCCCCCCCAACTTTACGGCTGGATGGACAATTAAATAACAGTTCTGATTCATGTTTTTACAATAATAAATACAATGGTCAGTCCAACAAATACATTTGTATTCTTTTTTTTAAGAGGCAAGAGGAAGTATTTATTGGGCATCCCATTATTGTGATGCAGAAATCTGGTCACCTTACCTATTCATTGATCTATCATGCAGATTAGTAAAGCGCACTTGTTCTGTCTGCAGTCAAAGTAACTCGAGCTATAAAATTATGAGAAGCCTTGGTTGTTTAGCTTCATTGTTGCAGTAGCCTTGTGCTGCCATTAGTATTGTTTCCATTTACCTGCTCTTGGAGGCTAGAAAGCTCTGGTATGCACTGTTTTTTGTTTCTCATGTCATCACTGATGTGAAGATGAAATCATCCTCCCTCATAGCATGCATTCCCCATGTTTATCTATCTGGAACTTACCAGGCACCAGTATGTTCTGCACTTGACCAGCCCAATGTCTTTCAACTTCAACTGTAAAGAATCAGAAGCCAATTGGAGCAGTTAACTCCTTCGGTGGGGAATACTCTGAACCTTATCTTTTTCATGCTGGGGTGAATTTTTTTTTGTGCAAAATTGCATATTGCCAACTTGTTCAAGTTTTTCCAATTTTTATTGAAATTGGAATTGAACTCATGTAATTTTTCTTGCTTGAGTTTGACCAACCATCCAACATATGGCAGAAAGACCACCGCTTCTAGCTCACCCAGCCATGTGGATATATCCATATTCCCTCCATTGTGGGAAAGTTCACACAGTGTGGATAAATCCATGCTCCCCATTGAAGGGGTTTATGTGAAGGGACATTAATACCTCTGGATGTAGAAAAAAAAGTAACTGCTCCCATGCATGCACAGGCATTTGGAGAATCTGCCAGATATGAGAAACTGAAGCTTCCTGGCAGATACCCTGTATACAGGTTATAAAAAAATGCCAGTGGCACTAAGGTGCAGGTTGAGTTTCAAGGGGAATTTTTAAAGGTCTTCACCTAATGCAGAAGGATTATACTGTATAACCAATATGTAAATACCATATTATGAGCCCATTTTGCTCTAAATTTGCAAAGCAAGAATGGGGCATGTCATTCCTATCATGCAGCTTTATGTATATCAATGGACAGGTGGAAACAGGACTGGAAATTTGGAATTTCATGAAAAGAGAAGAGGAGAGGCAAGGAAAGGTTAGAAAAGTACAAATTTAAATCAATATTTAATAGGCATATCTCCCTGGCTTCCATTTACATGGTAACTGATTTCATTAGTGCTGTCTGAAAACTGATAATTGATCATATAAAAATTTGATTTTCTGTATTCTATAATTCCATAAATTAATCAAAGCTTTGATCCATATATTGTTACATCTCCAACTACAGCCCAGAACAAAAATGCCCTGAATGGAATGGCATCTCAAGACCTTTGTATTTGCCTACTGCCTTGATTGAGGTGCAATCAATTGATTGCTTTACATTTGAATAAAACTGAGGCAGGTCCATGCAGTTGTCTTCACAGAGCTATTCACCTCTGTAGCATTTATGGAAAAGAAATGCTCATATAAACATATGATTGGAGTCTGGGCTGATCCACCCAAACATGTTAGCTTTTCCCCCTTTGTCTAGTTAGCAGCTTATGAACTGAACTTTTTAAAATCTGGGCTTTCTTTTATCTTGAAAATTTCCCACAAAGATCTTTTCTTTTTAAGCAGCAGTGAGGATGAAAAGGTTGGTTGCATGACCTTCAATAGAAAACACAGGGCTACCAAAGTGAACCTTAAATTGTAGGCACTACAATTCAAACTGAACACACTAGATCGCCAATAAAATCTATCTGGATGTATTTCAAACATATTCATATGAAATTCACCTTTTGAATTTTTTTTTTAGGCTAGACATAATGTTAAGGTGTTAACTTCTATCCAAAAATGCACCTAATATCCTAAATTTGTGGTATCACAGAATGAAGATAAGTACTTCCGGAGCTTCATTCACGAATTCGTTGCCCATTGGCGGAGTCAGTTGGGCTTGGATGCAGTTCATTCCAGGGATGACATTGGCCACATGAGGGGACCAAACCTGTTTCGCCTTCCTGAGGAATTCCTACCCACTGTATCCAAATACTTCCACAAGGATATCCTCAGACTGGAAAAGGTGTAGTCTGCAGTAGAGACTTGGAAACCTCTCAATAAAAGTATTTTTTTAATTTTTAATTTTCCTATTAATGCTGATGAGAATATATCAAAACAATTTTTTTTTCAATAGGGAGAGAGTGAGGAATCACACCTGAAAGAAACAGGGGAAATCCTGCAATGCTTATATATTATATGCCAGAATAGTAACAATACAGAAGCACTTGCATCCTGTGACCTGGTTGGAAATTTCTGCTCAGTGGCAACGCTACTCATTCATAGGGTAAGTCCTTCTTTGTCTCTTTTTCACTTTTCAGTTTCAACTATTAATCTTGTCAAATCCTTTTCCAAATATGTTTGCAATACACAAAAAAATAAATAGGAACACCTAGAACAAGTGATGATGATTGTATAATGCCACAGGTAAGCCACAGGTAAGGTAAGGTAAGGTAAGGTAAGGTAAGGTAAGGTTATCAGAGAGTGATTGATTATTTGCATACCTCAATGTCTCAAATAAATGCCCAAAGTTTGGTTGCTGTAGCATCACTCATTCTTGGTCTTCCTATTTTTTTTTGCCAGGAGTATATTTTTAAATTCAATTCTAGTCAGTTCACTACAGGCCTACTCATTATTTGTGGTGGAATTTATTGTACTGACTGGGGTATTGGAAGAATTGCATTATAATGCAAACTTTGACAACTTCTTTAGTCATAGATATATCAGATGAGATTATAAATTGGTCTACACAGTTAAGAAACAGGATCTCATCAATACTCTTAATTTCCTTTTTTTCCCATAAAATCTTTAAGCATAAATGAGAAAAGTTTGAAATTGAAGTTAATATTATCATAGAAAACTGTTGCAGAAGTTGATATAGAATTGCATAAATGAAATACATTATTGAGTGGTGTGCATCAGAATGAATATTTGAATTTTATTCTCTTCCACAGTGGGCTTCTATGATCAACTCTACGGTCACAATGTATTCTCATAGGAAATCATTATAAATTTAAATAAATGAGAATGAAGTCAATATGTTGCTTGTCACCCATTCTTGCCAGTATTGACAGCTTTATTTGTTCTCCAGAGAGTTTGCTGTCAAGTGCAAGAATCTCAAATTCTCAAATTTTCCAAAATATTCAAGCAATATAATAATAAGTCACTTTCATATGAGGTTGGACCAATATATAAGACATTAAATGATTAATCTAGAATTGATATGCAAATCTCCTTTGAGTCCCATATTGAAAAGATCCAGAATTTGTGAAGCAATCTCAATCAAGTGATTTATTTATGAATTGGATTCAGATGACTCACTTTCCTGGAATATCTCAATTGATCTTAGAGAGTGAACCCTGTTGTTAGATATTCTTTACCTTTAATGCAGCTACAAAGAATGAATGTTTATCAATCAGAGTCATTTTCCAATGTCTCAATATGCATACAATGATTAATATGATTAGGTATTAATTTATTAAATTCATGTCTTGTTTGGGGTTTCATTCTGAGGTTGGATTCTCATTCAGATTTTCAAAGATTCAGGAGTAGTATTGAGATCTGACATCAAGATTTGAATCATATTCAAGATTATGAACATAGGCCTGGGATTAACTATTGGCTGTTATCTGTGTTAACATTAAAGTAGGCCTATTGAAAATCTTCACTCCATGGGAAATTCATTATGTCAGTGGCAGGTTTTCAAGTCATTCTGTCCCATTACATTTCTCAGCAAACTAATAGATGAATTTGGAGCTTTGAAGTCTCTTTTTCTTTAATTTTTGAATGGTACTAAGTACCTTCTGATGTAATACTGATGTGAAAATTCAAACATGACACACTGTCATGTTGGGCTTTAACAAACTGTCAACATAGCTCATTTTGTTTTACTTGGGTGAATCATGATCTTTTTAAAAGATTGTTTGAGTAATGCAAAATCTGTAGAACCTTGTGGTAAAATGCTCAAATTTTATTACTATATCTTTGTGAATGTGCTGAAATTGTTGGCAGATACATTATGTATGGTCTCTTAATTGTCTAACATGCAGAAATATGTGAGAGTTGGAGAGTACAATGAAGGACTGAGACAAGCAAGCATGCAGTGTTTGGTGGCTGGTTGTCGCCTGCTTCAGAGCCTATACGATCCATATGGATTCTGGGAGAAGCGGGTCAAACGAAGTTGTCATATGGAGTCCCATAACTTGGACTTCCAGGCTGCTTCTCTACATGTCCAGCTAGTACCCTTTTTGTATGGTCTGTCTTAGTTGCATTCTCCTTGAATGAATCCTGTCACAAGCATTTCACTATTAGTCTTATCAAAAAAAAGTATTAAGCGGCCTCATCAAAGCTATGCCCAATGGGTAGGCCAACTATCAATAGTTCTGGCTCTAGTGTCAATGTTGGTATTGAAACTAGCTTGATTGGTTGTGTATGGATGGTGGTGGGCTCATGAGACGCAATCAGGTAGGACGTTTAACTCATTGAGGTCATTTGATGAGTTTCACTAGCACTTTTTGGCAAAGTAAATACTTTTTTGAGCATAAACATTTTCCTTGTACCAAATTTGAAAAAATGCAAATTGACTACTGCAAGAATGGCTGGAAAAGTTTTGATAGTGTAGATATGGAAAAGAGGCATATGTACAGGGTGGCACAAAAGTCTCTATGCATTTTTGACTAGCTATACTTTCCTCACATAATTCCTAACAAACAAAACAGAAACTGGTCATACTTGTATCAGTAATTGATACATCAGTAATTGGTCATTCGACCACCAACAGCAGCTGCAGCCTTGATCCTCCTAGGGAAAGATTTCAGGGGAAGATTTCTGAATTAGTATGGAGCTTTGCTAGGCTTTTAGAAGCTTTTACCAAATTTTTTCTATTTGGCTGAGCAGTTACTGAAAAAACCAGAAATAAAATTGCAGCCCGAAGGCATTAAGTATAGCTTGCAGTAGATTACATTATTGTGACCCTGTACACCACCTCCAGAGGGTGTAATTATAGGGACTCTTTATTGGAGCTATTTGTATTTAATGTTATGTATATGCTTTTTTTTTATTATCTTAAAATGAAACTTCAGACTCTCTGGAGGGACCATCAGCAGTGATAGAGGAAGAAGAAGCTGCCATCGAGCTCCTCAATATACTTGGAGCCATCCTCTGTGGGTCTAAGGTGGGATCTATCTTGATCTGAGAGATTTTGCATTTTTTCATCCTTGTTTTCATGGAAATGATATTTGTTTGATGACCTGACTCAGGTGAATGCAATACGAGTCACTTGCCCTGCTTCCCTGGACATCCTACAGACAGTGTTGTCCTGGCCATCTGTTACCCCAAAGACACAGATCCCTGCTGTTTACTGCTTTGCTGCCATGGCACACTCCATCCTCACTTCTGCTCCTAATGAGGTCAGTTTAGTTGAAGTATTTAAAAAAGAAAGAAATGGAGCATTCTATGCTAAATAAAGCAGCCAAGTACCGTATTTACTTGAGTATTGTGTGCCACCATGTATAAGATGCACCCCCCGCTTTTGAGGTCCCCATATGTGTAAAAGAAAGAGATTTCCCATTTATAAGGTGCACCCCCCCTATTCCATGGGGAAAGTGTCGGATAGGGGAGATGAGTAATGTGTGAACCTGGTCAGTTGGACCTAGTTTCTTATTCACTATCCTGACTTTTATCAAGAGGGAGCACAGTATCCCTATTGTTTGCTTTATTATCTGTAAAAATGGATGGAAATGTAAAGCAAAGTTACATGGCTACAGAGAAATCAAAGTGATTCAGGAAGTGAAGGAGTTGGGTATCCATGCAATAGGTTGTAAGTATGACATCAAGGAAAGATGTATACGGAAGTGGATCAAGGTGAGAGCGAAATTGAGCTGGGCACTAAAGAATTTTATGGCCTTTCATGGGGAAAAAGGGATCATTTCCGATAATCATAAAAGAAGTGGCTGAATGCGTAAAAGAGTGAGTCCGTACTTCTGTAATGAAATCCTTGATGAAGCATAACGTGTGAACATTTCACTTTGTTCTGACTCTGTTTGCCAGTTTTTGGTCTCGAAAGAATGGTCTATAAGTAAAACTAGGGTAATCGAGACACGAACCTGTATGATTGCAAGAGCAAATGGGATCTCCCATCTAAAATTTGATGTATCACAGATGGCATGATTCATGAAGTGAGTTGGATTTTCTACTTGTCAGAAAACCTTAGTGGCTCAGAAATTTCCAAGAGAAATGACTGTCTCTGAAATGGCCTCTTGGAAGAGGGTGAGAGCTCTGCAAATGAATTTTCCATGCTGTCAGACATCTCAGATTCCAATTCCGATACAGAATCAAGTCCATGAATCGACATAGCCATTCCCTGTTTACAGTTTTATTATTATAAAATTGTATTTCCTCTATTCTGACTGACTACAGACACTGTTTCCACCTCAATAAGTGACCAAATAGGTATGCTGAAAATTTTTTTTCATGAAAAGGAGCATTTTTCCCCCTGAGTATAAAATGCACCCCCTCATTGAACACAATAAAATATGCAAAAAAAAGCATCCTATACACGAGTAAATACGATGATTGTTTTGAGCCTAAGCACCTCCAGTTTTTGAAAAAATTGCCAGAGATTTAAAGAAATTTATTTTAAGAAACAATTTTGAACCATTTTTATGACTATTTATAACACTACTAATACTATTTTAATTACTATGAGTATTTATTATTTATTGTTATGCATGAAGTAGCATAGTTGAACCAACAATTTCATCTCAGGACTGGTGTAGTGCTTTTATTGAATTTAAATTTTAAGCCTGTACTTCTGCCTATTCAGTTAGTCAACAAACACTGAGGCAACAGGAAGTTTCAGCTTTGATGTTTGCTATGTTCTTCATAAAACATGCTATATATTTTTGCTGTTGAGATCTGATTCACATTATTGCATTGCAGTTGCAGCAATATTTGAAAGTGGGTAAAAGTTGGTGCCATAATTTTTAACTGGTGCCTAAAAATTAGGCACCAGTTTCTCCATTGACCAGACAGCTTTTCAGAATAACCTGAATATGGTTTCCAGTTCTCCCAAACTTATTGCAAACATAGTAGAAAATCACAGTACCATTGTAACAACCCTAATTCTAACACCCAGATTCACAGTAGCCAATGTGAACAACTGACATTCAATGGAGAGGCCTGCACATGACTGTGTCTGCAGGCACACTACATTCACATAGAGGGAATTGATACTGATCATGCACTCATGTAAGAGTCAGATTTCAGCAGAGCAAAATATCAGATCATAGATATTTATTGAAATCTCTAATATGGAACCTGATACTGATACTAATATAATATCATTGCATTATTAGTTAATGGTACAATCATAGAAGACTGAATTCCCTTCTGGAATTCAATTTGAAAATTTTCCCTTAGGATATCAAAAAAGATTTCTGATTCCATTTGCAGAGACAGATGGAAATAGGAACATTGTTGGAGCGCTACCAAGCATGCATCCTATCCTTGGCAATTAATATAAACACCAACCCAGACCAAGTGAGCACCTTGATCTTGGCTGTGGAGAGTGTTGCCCATATGATGGAAGTCCATTCCTCTGAAGCTCGGAATGCACTGCAGGAAGCAGTGTTCCGTGTTGGCATTCTGGAGACCCTGGTTGACATCCTTAAGGACTCCAAGGTGTGTAAAATTCTCATGTCTAACCCTTTCCATGGCATAGGTGTATTTTTACGTCCATCATAGCCCAACCCTTCTCTCTGTCAATTGATGAGTATCATGAAAAGTCACAATTATCAATTATGGCCATTAAGACATAATTTTCACTGTGGTCCAGAGCACCAAAAATCATGGTCAGAGATGGAAATATGGAAACAGTCATTTTCCAATGGCAAATTGACTGTATTGTGAGAAACATGATTTTCTTGAAAATCTAACAAAAATTCTGCTGTTAATAAGTTAGGTGACATACCAGTACCACAACAGTGCATGTATTTTATATGATTTAGAAATCTAACTTTTTTTTTCACTTTCAAGACTTCCATGCTTTATGATACTTTTAGAAAATTTTACTATGATTTGTACAAGACTATCACTTGCTTGGGCAAACTTGGTCAAGATTCTGCAAGATTTTTGTGTGAGAATCTTTCTTGTGTCTGTATGAATTCATTTTATAAGGCTTGAAAATACAAAGTTTAGAAATACCCTCAATAGTAAGTCTCTGAGAGAACAAGCCCTTTATTTACTATGAAGCAGCAAGAAGAAAATGTGACAAGAAAATATAATAAAAAAATAGATTAGAACAATGCATGACACTGTGAATGGCATGAAGGAACTAAGAGCAAAATAAATTAATAAGTAAATATAAAAGTAGTATGGTAAACATTAGTGAGAATTTGTGTAAAAAGCACAAGGCAATGCTTTGGACTAAAGCAAAACTCATATTAAGCAGAAAAGACCTAAGTAGTAACATGCAGAAAGATGAATAACTTAAGAGTAAAAAAAGAAGCAAGATTGAAGACAAGGATGAAGAAAGGGAAAGGACTAAGTGTGAACAATGGGCATCCACAGAGCCCTTTGAGTTCACCCCTGTGAGTCAATTTGAATGCAACAAAATTAATATTTTCTCTGATTTTTCTGAAGGACGTCCACAGTTGGACTATTTCATCATCATAAAGGAGCTGATTCCTGTCTTTTGATTCTAATCATTAGAATATTAAATGTATTACCATAGAATATTAAGTGCATTACCCCATATTGTTAAGCAACAGATTACAGGGTGGTCAAAAAGTTCGTTGACTTCAGATTTTTACATTTTTCTGAAGCACAAAAAAGTTTTGCAAAAACAAATTGAACAGAAGTGACAAACAACATCTTTAGACTTCTGTATGCTACTTTTCACTAAATGTGGCCCCCTTTAAATCGGACACAGGCAGTCAATCTCCCTGGGAATGCATCCACTGCAGCGCGTAGCATATCCTGTGGGATCTTCTCCCATTCCTTCGTGAGGACACGCTTCAGAGATTCGACGTTGTCGTAGGACCTGCAGCACACCTTGGTCTCCAGAATGCCCCAGACGGCGTAGTCCAGAGGGTTGATAGCATATCCTGTGGGATCTTCTCCCATTCCTTCGTGAGGACACGCTTCAGAGATGCGACGTTGTCGTAGGACCTGCAGCACACCTTGGTCTCCAGAATGCCCCAGACGGCGTAGTCCAGAGGGTTGAGGTCCGGGGACTATGACGGCCATTCGTCAGCAGTGATCAGGCCGGGAAATTGGTCGCGGCACCATTTCTGAACATGACGGACTTTGTGGGACGGCACAGAATCTTGTTGAAAGATCCATTCTCTGCTATGGAAGTGTCTCTCAGCCCAAGGCTTTACGACGGCCTGGAGCAAGTCGCGCTTATAGACTTCAGCATTGATTTTCAACCCCCTCTGTGGGACGGCACAGAATCTTGTTGAAAGATCCATTCTCTGCTATGGAAGTGTCTCTCAGCCCAAGGCTTTACGACGGCCTGGAGCAAGTCGCGCTTATAGACTTCAGCATTGATTTTCAACCCCCGATCAATGAAAATCAATCGCGTTCGCCCATCGGCAGTGATCCCGGCCAAAACCATCACACCAGCAGCCTTCTGCTTCCGAGTCACGATTCGATCACTTGGAGATAGAGTTCATGGGTCAGTAGACCAATTCCAATCATTTTGGCTATTTAAAGCGTGCTCGATGGTGAACAACTTCTCATCAGAAAACAGGACAAGTCAGTGTTTGTTGCCTGCGAGCCGGCGTTTCAGATTTTTGCATCTGATATCCCTGTTCTTCTTGGCGGTTTCGTTGAGGAACTGCGTTTTCCTCATCTTGTAAGGATGGGCATTGATATCATTTTTCAAGATGTTCATCGTCGAGGAACTGCTGATTCCGAGCTCAGCTGCTAATTTTCGCGTCGACCTTCGGGGATTGCGACGAATTCGATCCCGAACTCTTTTGATGTTGCGGGGGGTTACAGCAGTGCGTGGTCGATCAGATCTCGGTCTGTCATCTAGGTTCTGAGTCTCTTGAAACCACTTGATCGTTTTGGAGACCAGCTGCTTTGACACTCTGGACGAGGTAAATGACCGAACAATGTCACAATTCCGATGACCGACCTGATGGAGCTCAATTATGGCAGCTGTAATTGTTTTCATGCTAAATACAAATTTATATTATCTCATTAGGACTTTTGGTGATAATTTGGCTTTCATAACACGTAAGCAAAAAACTAGAAATAGTGACAGTAACACTTTATTTGACTTCATCAGAGCGCGTCAAAAAAAGTCAACGAACTTTTTAACCACCCTGTAGTATTTGAACGACTCAATTCATTCCTTCCAGCAAGGGAAATGCGTGCCTAGCATAATATTAATACCTTATTTTATCTCTCATGCAGAAGGAAAGTTAAACACAACCGCGCAGACCGGTTAACTTACTCCCATTCTCGAAAGAGACACGAGATATTAGAGCCCGAGCCATTTGGTGCGCTGCGAAGTGAGGTGGGCAAAATTGCCGTGTGTCTTCGGACCCGCTGGCCAGAAGTACCTAGAGTCTTCTTCTGCCGGATTACCTCCTTCAAAGGGTCTATCTAGGAATTCCAAAGCCTTCTCTCAAGTTGTAGGTTTGAACAGATCGTACACTGTATGAAAAACTCTAGGAAACTATACTTTTCAGGTATGAATATTAGAATAGCCAAATTGGCGATTAGGTGCTATATCGCGCCGATTGCTATAATATATTTTCCGTCAAGATGATGTGGATAACTCCATTTGGAAATAATATTGAGACCATGACGAAAGCAAATGGGAAAAAAAAACGAAGTTGCACCTAATAACTTCTAAACGATTTAGGCAATACATGTGCAGTCTCAATGTGTTGCAGAGTTGGTTAATTACGAACAGCCAGCGTTTAATTGATTTATTCATATTATTGGTTAAATTCTAAAATTCAACCATGTCTCATTAGTTCAATCTTTTTTCAGTGTCACCCAAAGCTTACAATGGATACTTGAAATACTATGGCTCTCACGCGCGATTCGCTTTCTCCAACGATCATTGGCGCGAGGATATTTTTCCAGTTGTTTCTGTCCACGTTTTGGTGGCATGACAAATGAATTTTTTACATATATAGGGTGGTTAAAAATAAACGCTCTACCGTTTTCTATGGGAGAAACACAGTTTCATAAATTCAGCAAAAAAAACTGCATTGGATAGGCTATCGAAATTTGACTGTTTCGAGGTGTTGAAATGCTTGCCATCTTTTTTTCAGCACATTTGCCTAAGTTGTGCAATGCCCATGTAGAGATGAATTAAAGGTGCTTAGAGGTGGAGCATTCCACCTCAAGTGAGGTGACGACCTGTGCTCGATCGTCTCAGAATTCAGTGAACTTTTCAACTTTAACTTTTCAAATGTCAATTGGATCCAATTGATACTTGACAGAGGAGTAACCCTCTCCGAGTGCAGCATCCTTTGGCATCATACGGCGATTTTCCGTTGCATGTCTACAGACCAGACCTGCCTTGTTCATCCACTTTTTAGAGTGTTTGTACTGAAATACCAATTGCTCCGGATCTGTTGAAGGAAATTTGAGACATAATATGGCGATGGAAAAAGGATTAATAGACCTTTCAATTCCCGTCTTGAACACGAAAAAAGGTTCATTAGTTCAAAAGTTATTGCCGATGAAAATTGTGTGGTTTTTTTGGGCCACCCTGCATATATTACTTGCAAGTTTGTTTGCCCTTCGGGCAAACAAACTCGCTATTGTCGCGCCTTCGGCGCTCCATTACCAGGATAGTGATTCATTCAATAATTTATTGTCAAAGTAGCAAAAACCTATTAAACATATGTACTCATAGGAATGTGTATCGAGAGAGAACAAACCGATCTTTTCGTAGGAATGATTACTCACATTATTAGGTCATCAATCCGGTATTTGTGAGGTATCATAAGTTGTATAAAACTCCAGACATGTATTTTTTGTTCAATTGTCAAGAGGCGGCTCACACTGACACGTTTTCAATTTGTCGGTAATTTGGCTCTATTCTAATTATGAAAAAATAGCAATGAATATTTCATACTAGCGAGTTTGTTTACCCTTCGGGCAAACAAACTCGCTATGGTCGCGCCTTCGGCGCTCTATTACCTTGGATAGTGATTAATTCATTTATTCTTTTCGAAATGGCAAACACGTATTTGAAGTACATACCCATTGAAATACGTGACATATGGAGTCGAATGTCGTGATTTTCATCAAAATCATTACTTCTATGATTATAGGTGTGCTTAACCTGAAATCTATCCTTGTGTCCCTTTTTCTAAGGGTGGAGAATACATTTTGAAATACTTCCCTCCAATAATCGACGCTAAGGAGACATATTTCAAATGTAGGATTTTTCCTCTACTCAGCCATCAAATGTACTTCTGAAAGTATCGATAGTTTAAAATTTCTGCCTCTGGATGAAAAAAAAATGAGGAAAACGGGACTGAAAAAAGTGGTCTAATGGGCTTGAAAGAAAAATTTTTTGTTTTGAAATGTAGACTCAGGGAACTTTATGCCACCCAGTTTCAGCCTTATACGTTTCCCCTTTTTGCTGGCGGAAAAAAATGAATTTGGAAAAGCCGACCCACCCAAAAGCTATGCACTTAGGGGATGCCCCATGAAAGCCGAATACTCCCTCAGCTTAGTAATATCATGTCAGTTATAAGTGTGCTAAGTTTCACCTTTCCATTTCTGTCCAATTCGCAGCGACAAAATTTTTTTTTTAAACATCACCCCTCGAAAAAATTCCCCCAGGGGATGTATCGAGACCTAACATTTTCCTTTAACTCCATGTCTCAGTAGTAACATTCCTGCAAAGTTTCAGCTTTCTGTGTTCATCAGTTTAAATGATATAAAAAAATTATTGGAAAACATCTCCGTTTGAAATTTGTGTCCCAGGGCATTTACTTCCAAANCCATCAGCTACTCACGTTCCTTCCGTTTCGTTGAAGGCAAGGGGAGCCTGAGAATGGCTTAGGCCTAAGCGTCCGTCTGAGGGTTAGACCTAGCCTTACAAATGAGACCCCCTGGAATGAGCCCCCAGGGCACTTACCCCCAAAGTTGGAATTTTTCTGGAGTCAGCAATCTAACAGCTATGTGTGTACCAAGTTTCAGCCTCTCATCATGTCTAGAACATGGTTAGAATTAGCGTCAGTCAGTCAGTCAGTCACGATAGTCTATATATATCTAATACTGGTTCAATCTTTATATGGTCAATAATTGTGATCAACGCCAAATAATTTTTTCAGTGGATCAGATGAATGCCAGGGACGGTTAGATCCCACATTATGAATGGTGTACGAAATGTCCAACTCAGGAATGCCGGGCTCCGGTTTTTTTTGAAGCTGTTGCGAAAGTACAGCTACAACTGCTATGTCCCCCAATGGTGAACGAATAAATTACCCCTTGCGAAAGATGAATTGCATAATTTCCGCGTGATGCAACCGCTGATTCGTGCGTTTCTTTCTGACCGTGTCTTTCCTCCAGTTTCATAGCCTGACACGGCACTCCCACTTTACGAAAAATTCCTATAGGAAACCAATAGATTTTTCCTATTGGTTTTGGAAACACGAAAAAAGATATATAAAGGATGCCTATAGGGTCCTATAGGACTCATGACCTATAGGATTCGGTGAGGCTTTTTTTGGTTTCAATACCCTGGCATTACAATCAGGACGACCACCCGGGTTAATATTGGCGCAGCTTTTTGCTGTGAATTCATTACTGAGTAGGGGTTTTCCCATGGTGGGGGCATTTGTATCTTCAGTAATAGTACTTCGCTTGTACAGTACCCTGCCCATGTGCACATCTGTTTCGTGGATGGCAGGATTGCGCATCCAATTCCATCCGTGGATAGTGAGTGGTCATTCTCCACTCGGTGCAAAGACATATCAGACCGAACCTGCATACACCATCACTTTCAGAAACTACTTTCGGATTGCGGAAATAATTTTTCGTATGGGGTTCTCA